GTATTATACATGAGATCGTATTATACATGAGATCGTATTATACATGAGGTCATATTATACTGTACATGAATAAATACAGTACATTCTTCAGTGATGCGGAAGCCTTTTAATTCAATAGACAGTAAACATGACAGTTTGTACTGTTTGCCTCAGGGCTCCCTGAAGATGCCAACATAACAATGCTGAATGTCTTCTAAAATTGCTGAGGTCATGACAGTGATGATCAGAAGATGAGTCCTGATATAGAAAGTCCTAACTTTTTTTGCTGATGGGATGAAACTGATGGGGAATTTACAGTCTAATAAATGTTATACTCTCACACGCTCACTACTAAACAAAATGGTACAGATTATTAAGCATTATTTTTGACATCCAGCTTTTAATTAATGTTTGTTATTACATAGTAAAATGTGCAGTTAGCGTCTGTGTTGCTCATAAACAAAAGTTCTTTACCCTGTTCTTTTTTTCTCTGCACTTAAAGGACTTTAGGAAGCTTCTGAAGAAAGAGGAAAAGCCAGTTCTCATGATGTTCTATGCTCCATGTGAGTCTTTTTATGATTTTTTTATAATTGTTAATGGAAGTGTTGTTACTTTTGCATGACATTCATCCATATTGTGATTCGAAAACATGGTTAATATGACTCTAATTATATAAAATTACCCTAATAAGGTCTTTCATTTGAACAGCAGAATACGAAATCTGGAATAGGGCCATAACATTTRTTTATTTTTGTCACTTCTGTAATGAGGTTTCCCACATTCATCATGTTTGGCAAAGATTMATTTTTACCTTCCTTTCAGTCATTGTTCCAACTTTTACCTGTTGTGYAGTTAGTACACACAAAACAATGACTGTGTGGCAAGAGCTGACCTAAAAACATGAGTTAAAGCCTGTCTGACTTAAAGTAGCAGCTGGTTCCCCAGGTTAGGAGCTCCAACCAAGGACCTGATTGCCTCTCTGGACCAGCCCAGAACTTGGGACAACTAAAGACCTGATCACCTCTGTAGACCAGCCCATACCTCAGAACAAGTAAAGACCTGGGGCCTCATGTATCAACGGTGTGTACGCACAAAAACCTTGCGTACGTCATTACCCACGCAAATCTCCTGATGTATCAAAACTCAACTGAATGTGGAAATGTGCACAGCCCCACACCAACTCCAGGGCTGTTGTCACATGGTTCTGTGGTTCTGGTTCCATTGGAGACACTTAGAGGTGATTCTGAGAAACTGTTCATGATGTGAAAATGATTATTGTTCACAGCAGACACACATGATTAACAACTATTACATCCACATGATTAACAATTATTACATCCACATGATTAACAACTATTACATCCACATGGACGCAGTTTGATGAAGGACACGCAAAGT